AAGCATTTGGCTCACAGTTGTGGTGTGACCCCATTGGTCTGAATAGCTGAATTTGACAGGTGGTGTCATCTTTCAAACTCATTCGCCCAAGTTAAAATTGCCACAGCCAAGACATGTATACAATCCTGTTTGGCTGTAATGTTACAATTCCGATGGGTAGCTGGAGGTGGCAATACTGCAGCCCAGCCACTTTTTTAACCTGTATGTATTATCCATATAATCTCGTTGTGTAACCTATTGCTGCATTTGAGGCTAGGTTCACACTTGAGCGGGTTTGCACAAAAGAACAGACTGCTGTGCCTGCATTTCCTGCAAAAAATGGGGTGCCTGCACCATTTTAAAAATGCAGCTGCAGGGAAATGGTCCTTTTGCACCATGCAATCTCCCTGCAGTTCCCACACCGTTGCAGGTTGAGATTTGTGGCGGGTGGCATTAAGAATGAATTGCAGCACTGCAAGTCCCTACAGAACAGCGTGATGTGGTTGTGGGTGCAGGAGCACCTACAATTCCCAACTCCTGGATCCACCCACTCAAGGGTGAACCTAGAGCAGGCTGCTGTTGCAGGTGACAAAGTTACTTTTTAGTAGTTTTATCCTGGTTTCATCAGCTTCATTTTAAAGGATATACGTTCACTTTTAAAAAAATAAATAATTTTGGGGGGGGGGGGGGGTAGTGTGCGGGGCCAGCGCTACAGTAACATGTTACACACTGAACATGGGTGTAACATGTTATGAAAGGTGAACTTATCCTTTTAATATTTTCTGTTATTAATACATCTTAATCCTTAATGAAACAGCACTTACTGCTTGACGCAAATCATGTAGTTTGTGTTTAGTGGCCAAGCGTAATCATTCATGTTCTCAAAATCATATAAGCTAAGGTGAGTCAATGATGTTGCATTGTGATTGTAAATGAAACGAAGAGTAGCTGCATTAAAGACCTTCCCTGTGTTGTGTTATATTCAGTTAGACAGCATGTTTTTATTTGCCTTTGTCATGCTAATAAAACTCCCAATAAAGTCTCATATAATTATAACAGCTACAAGCTGAACAAAAATGCTCTAGTGTATTTTTATGTGAAGAGAATGGAAACCTGGGCTTTTAAATACAGGCAGGTCATACACTTGGTCAGATCAATGACATAACTATCTAAAATGGCAACCACAACCGACAGCTGTGTACTACCTAAATTAACTGTGATGAGAGGTCACATGTAACAAAACCCTTGCTTTGGTTGCAAAAAAATAATAATAATGCACCTGAAAATATATGTATAGTACAACAAAGCAAAAATAGAATTGAAGGATTTTTCACCCAATGAGCTTGCAGCTTTAGTGCTAGTAGTGGGATGCAAATGTTGGACTATTCAATGCACAAAAAGACCTGCCTGTGAATGTCTGACTGTATAACACCGGCCACTTACTTATCTCTTCTTATACATTCTCACGGGAAAAGCAATGTTGACCTGTGTTTTCTTGTTGCTTCTGTATTCCCTACAGTATTTATGCTACACTCTCTAGCAGAAGGGACTCATCCTTGAATGGCTGACAGACTCTGCTTGCTGCTTCAGGTTTTGTAAATCATTTCACTATATATTTCAAAGACTCATATTATGCCAGTAAAACTCCAGGTAAACATGTAGGTTCCCGTATGTTGGAGTAAAGTAAGCTGCATTCTGCTACTGTTCTAAGGAGTAGACAAACAAAGGGCATTGTGTAATTTATTAAAAAAAAAAACTCCTGATGCCCTATGTTAAGAATAGCCTTCTAATCTAACTAATAAATAATCATTTAAAAAAATGCTTTGATAAATTAGGAATTACAGCAAATTAGAGCCAAGTGAGCTGACTTGGCCATTTCATAATCTGCATCAAATGTATTGACATCCAAAAGCTAGTGTTCTTGTATTGGTTTTTCAATAATCAAGTTAGACATGTTTACATAATGTTTATTCCCAAAAGGAGGTTTATACATGAGTTAACTGATTTGAGGCCTAGTCATATCCATTAAAAATTTAAATGTAGAAAACTATTTTAGTATGAACTAAAACTACTGTAGTGCAATGTCTTAGTGGAGAAATCCTAGGATGTGGTCCAGATTCATTAGTGGATTCACTCTTATGCAGATTTCAAAGGCATTGTACGCAGGTTGAGATTTTTAACTTTTAGGCCCCTTTCACACAGCCAGGTAGGTGCATTCTCCAGATTCCAGCAGCAGCTTCTTGTGGCCCTCAGCCTGTATAAACTAATAGGAGGCCAACAGTGGCAGCCACTCTTCGGATATAGCAGCACACCAAGTGTGCAGATGTCCAAGCTCAGACATCCATAGGTAAATGCTTAATACAAGGGTACATGTGAACAGCGGTGAGCACGGTCAGCCTCTCGTTCATTTATATAGGCTGAGTGGCCACTGGTATTCACATGCCCCAGTCATTTCAGCTGCAAAGATCTGGAGAATGCACCTAACTAGCCTTGTGAAGGAGGCCTTATATTGCTTTGGAAATAACAAAAGTGCCTTTTACCGTAATCTTCACCCCTCTGTGCACCTGGGGATAATCATCCATTCCGAAGCAGTTTTTGTTTTTTTCTTTTTATTGCATGTCTGTATTTTCTTTGCAAGATAACCAACCTGACTTGTAAGAGAAGGGAAATCGTTATTTGACGCTTATGATACACTAACAGTATGTCTTTTATAAGTTAAACTTCTATTAGACTAATCTGAAAACTGAAATACCTGTTTGAAAAGAACCTCACTCAAAACCCTATATAATTCTCTGATGTGCCTGACCAAGAGATTTGCCTAAAAATGAAACGTTCAGTGCATTTTTATGCTCAGACTGGTGAGTAAAGGGGCACTAAACGTAAGCAATTCTAAACAAGTTAGTGTGTCTATCATGAAAAAAAAAAAAATTATCTTTCTTCCTTTACATGATCCCTGACATTCCATCTAGTCAAGGAAAGCCTATCCTGCCTCTACCTAAAAACTTCAACTCATCCCCTGAAAGTTGCCCATTGTTTTTAGATTGTAAGCTCTTACAAGCAGGGCCCTACTATCCCTCTTGTCTTGAATAATAAACCACTCTAATATATTACTAAAACCTAAAGTACTTTAATGCAAAAAGTAAGTAACACCTATTATAAATACCTAGAAGTGTTACTGATGCACCTTACATATGACTTTGCTGTAACTAGTATAGACAAATTAAATTGAATTCACGTGCAAAACTGGGGTTTATTTACTAAAGCTGGAGAGTGCAAAAATCAGGCTTCCAGTGTTGATTATGGACTGAACATATTTTGTTATTGCTGATGAGGACATTATTCATAGATAAACAGCTGCAGCATTTAAAAAGTTCCAGTAGCTGTTTTTTCTGATTAATCTTGTCAATTTATAATCCTTAGAAATGTTTGTTCTTCAATTTTGTTTAGCAGAGCAATACGTCAATTCTCTCTTTTCAAGTTTTGCCTTTTTCATACTTTGTACCATTGCACTGAATTTGAATTGAATAAAAAACATCTGCATGGTTAGTTTTCTGAAATGAAAGTGGTGGGTAAATGTAATACAACTTCCTATCTTCCTCCAAGTTTGCTGATTTTTATATATCTATTTTTTATTTCCCAGTCTTTCCAAAAATGCTCCACATTTGCTACTTAATTTTAAAAGGTTAATTTACTATTTTTTCAATTTATACAGAGGTTGCTTTTTAAATAGCTAGTAAAGCATTGCATTTAAGATGTCTGTGGATCTCAAAACATGCACATTTATGCAATTCAACACATCTTTATAAATAGCTAGCTCTATGTCTAACTCATAAAAAGCTGTGCTTTTGTATTAGTGGAAAGTAACTGGATTCCTCAGTAACAGATGTTATGGGATGATGCAAGGATTATTTAACCAAGTAAACAAAACTTGTAATCAATCCTTTCCAAATATTCAAATTTTTCACTATTTAGGCAATCCCTTGCAAACTAAGTAATTATGATAAGGGAACTAAAATACTCATACCTCAATGTCAACTAATAGGACATGATAATGTACCCTATAAATCAGAATAGAACATGTGGTAAGTGAAGTATGTGCCGGTATATGTACCTTTTAGACATACCGTAAACCATGGTCCTCATAACAGACTTTCACCATCATTACAGTGATCCTAGTTCCATGTAATAATGTACAAATTTTGCTTTTTATATATCTTTATATATACACAGCTGGTCAAGTATTTTCATAGACGCAGGAAAATGAGTTACAAACTTTCGATGTTACCGCACAAGACCTTCCAAGAGCAGCAAACAGACACGTACAAAAAACGCTAGAAAAGAAGGGTCTCCCCTGCACAAAGCATGCGCCTGCAGAGCCCACGTGGAGGAGGGTTCCCCACAGTGTCACCGGAGCTCCACAAGTCCTTTTACAGTCCTGAGGCTGTACTAATATCACAGATTCCATAACCTACCAAAAGTTCATCTCCTCTGCTGTTTGGAATCTGTGGAAAATAGGAAACCACAGAGCTGGAAACAGATCCAAAAGATGACAGGGACAAGGCATGTTGCCACTGTCCTCAATTGGGAACTCCACCGCCAACACCTGGGTTAGAGGTGGCATCAAGTGGGGTGTAAGACATGCAACAGCTTGAAGGCCCTCCACTGATCAAGAGTGGCACCATAGGGCAAGGGTCATGCAAAACAGACCAAATGCTTAAGACAGGTCAAACAGGCAATTAATTTGTTTTGAAAGAAAAGTGAGAAAGGTAATAAAATAAATCAGAGACACAAGATAGTGAACAGAATTAGGAAATTGAAGAAAAAAAAGTCACCCTAAAGAGAAAACAAAATGTTACTTTTAAATAAACATCCAAATCAAATTAATTTGAAAATAAAAGAAAATGATCAGTTGAGTTAATGCCCTCTGATTAGTCCATGATTTTTTTTGTAAGTATCATAATCAGAAAAGAAAGAGGGACAAAACCTAACAGCAGTTGAAAAAGTGGTAGTGTGACTTCAGGTCAGGGTTGGTCTTCTTCATCTTCGTCTAGAGATACCACCCCAGAGGACACCACATCTGAGCCCTTTCTTTGCAAAGTAAGCATGCCTGACCCTCGACTTATTGGAGGGAAGGAAATTAGCTCGTCCTCACTGGGGCTTAAGCAAGACTCAGAGAAGGACATGGAATATGAAGAGTCCTCACATTCCAGATCTTGAAGGCGATCATAGGGACCTAGGACTGACTGAGGCTTGATGAGCAAAGACTCTTCAAGCAGCTGTGTTGGAGACCCCAAGAGCAGCTGTTCTTCATCTAGGCTGCACAGACTGGAGCACAGGGTTTCAGGAGACAAGGTACGTGAGGAGTCACTGTCACAGCAGCATACACGGGATGACACCAGATCCTTCTGCACAGGACTTAGAAAATCTAGAGGAATAAAATATAGCCTTCAGTCACAATATAGAAAACATTAGAAATTATGAATGCATACTAGCGCTATACTCTCTTAGTAGATAAATAAAAACAAGTGTATGTACTTTAAAATCAGTGACATAACATACAATGGAACAGAAGGTTAAAGCGTTAGTTGGTATGTCTACATTGCCTTTTTTTTAACATTTTTGTTACCTCTGCTATCCCTGATTTAAGTATCTATAGTAGATGGATAAGACAAGCACAACCGGTCTTGCAACCTTCAGCTTAAAACATCAGAAATCAAAACATCAACCTACCTGGTGTAGCACTGTGTGACTTTTTTTTTTTTTTTTTTTTAAATAACTGTAGCATTCATTAAAAAGATCCCAAGACTGTTGCTGCTTGTAATGGAGGGAATGGTTGGATATGACCTGCCCTTACCCATTGACAGGGCACATGATATATTGATGCAGTTTTCTCTGGTGGGACCCAACTCTAATGACACTGTTGCTAGGCAACACCTTTCCTAGAATGCCAGAACAAAGATAATTATAGACAGCGGTGAGCAAAATAACAAGGAGGCCAGAGAGGTTTCACCAGAGCCGGTACTGGTAGAGAAGACTGTGGCAGCACATCAGGAGTTCTACATATATGCTTATCAAGGATCTTTTTACGAGTGCAATAGATTTTCACTATTCTAGAAATCACACAGTGCTACACGAGGTAATGTACTTTGTCCTCTTCTTACATAACAGAAAAGACACCTGGCTGCTCTTGTATACAAGTCAGGCAATACATATCGCTACATGAACATGCAATAGTAATTACTTATAGGTCTGTTTATAAAGCAGTGAATTTTAAATGTCACCAAACATTAACTGCTTTATAACTATACCCCTTATGTACTAAAATTGTTGATAATGGCAAAGATAATCATCATGGATGCAGTTTTGAAACTTGACAGCTAGCCAATACACTGGGCTAAGTGCAATTTGTAATCACATCTACACCTTGTACAATACATGTACAGTATGTGGTCTTCTCCACCAAAAGATTTATTATTCAAATTTAGCTACTTGTGTCCATTACAAAAAAACTACAGTAAAGAGGTGATGACCTCTATTTCTTTGTTAGGCTTTGCAGCTTCCAGTGCTGCTTGTTCACCTCCAGCATTAAGTGCACAAGCGTCAAGCACCTGATGCACCTACATTGAGTCTCAGTCACCCAGCATAGCTCACATGCTCCAACCTGCTACAGAGGTGCAGTTTAAGTCACACAGGCTCATTCTCAAGTACTGCTAGAGACTTTTCTGAACTGAACACACTGGTGAATTAAATGCCTAGTCTCCATAGAACTTCCATTTCCTGTAGTGATGTAGGGGGTTGGCAGGGGGAACCACAAAAAATAGAGAGGGGCTGTGCCTCCAGCACTTTTGACAGTAGAGCAAAGACTGCCACCAGGTAAATAAATTACAGTTTTCTTTAACAGATTCACTTTTGTTTACTTTTTTCAAAGGGACAGGCTCACTAAAGGGGGAGCACAAACAACACTGACCTCCACTTAAGTTCTCCCATAAATGAGGGTGCTCCCTTATTACTGACCAGCAACAGTTAGGGGACACTTACTACCAAGAAGTACTTTGTCCTGACAACTTTACTCTGAAGTCTCTGCCATGCATTGCATAGCTCTGACCCCTGCACTCTGCTGTACTGTATACACTATGTTGTACACTACATATTTATGATCATTGCACTGTATGTTATGTTGAACATCACAAGGTCTTGATCAAATAGTTTGTCTTAACTGCTGCTAGTTTTAATAAGGTTCTTCTTTAAGGTAGGCTCAAAGTGTTGGCATCCTGTGTAAAGAAAAAATATGTAAAAAAAAAAAAAGTTAAATTTTTTTAAAATGATGATTCTTGACTTGTGGTGTACTTGTCTGTGAGACCATCACTTGTGCTACAGTGCCCTTAATTACTGCATTACAAGGACTGTAGCATGTGTGTAGTGTAAACAAATAGGCATAGGTTCTGTTTACTCCATAGCAATGGTGCAGATCTGTGTAAATCACATGAATGGATGGACATAAAATGTGTTGTTGAAATGCATATATGTAATTATCAGTTTACATGGCATTCCATCATAAGTAATTTAAAATATATAGGTATCAGCTTGAAGCCAATAAGGCAGAAAATAATCTGAGCCACCCCCCCGAATGTCCAGATAATATCTAATGCTTTTTGCATTGTGATTTACTGCCAACCCAATGCTTTGAGGTGTAAAAAAAAAAAAAAAAAAAGAAGAAAAATTACTGTTGCTGACACATAAATAAATGATGTGGCCATCAGTATAATTCATATAACTAGGGCAAATCCACTAAAAGAAACTCAGCTGTAGATCACGTTTTGAAGAACATATCGTTTTGTACAGGGGAGACTCATATTATTCACTGTCACATGAGTGTGTTTGTGCTATTACCCACCTGCAGGTTGAGAATGGTCCATAGAGGGCTGCAGATCTTCATCATATGAATCATCTGTGGAATCTTCTCCATCAATTGATGACCAGGCACGGAGTTTAGCTTCTGCTATAGCAAACTGCTCAGCTACGCCTGGTAATGTACAAACAGTGGACAGAAAAGAGGAACAGAAACAGCAGCAAGCCAGCAGTAGTGCATGAAAAGCAAGAACCCAGAAAACAAAGACAGTGGCAGGGTGCACATGTATTGTATTTAGTGGGAAGCATGAAAAGACACCAAGACAAAAACACAATACAAAATAAGTGAAATAAAATACAAAATAAGTGGCATTCCATTATGAAAATAATTTTTTGGGGAAACACACACAAACACACACACAAAGATATGGTGGTTGCAGAGGATTGTAGGAAGAATAGCACATAAATGCCATAGATTTAAATCATCACAACAAAAAAAAAAAATCAGCAAAACATAAAAAGAGAAATTCATGGGAGGAAGAGGATGCTCCAATGAAAGGCACAGCAAGAACATTGCATTATTCGAGCATACAAGACAGGAAAAAAGGAAGAAAGAAAGAAAAAAAAAACAGGACATGAAAATAGAGCAGACAGGAGCAGCAGTGAGAGAAAAGTGAGTAAAAACGTCCATATTGATGCTTCTCCATCCATTAGTTTTGGTGTTTTCTCACCTGCAGCAAACCTGGCCTCCTGTTCTCCCTCACTTAAGTGTGAGTATGAATTGAAGTGAGTCTCCAGTGCAGCTGGTGAGTCACTGGGTTTGCTCCAGCCCTTCCACTCAATCAAATGAGCCACGCGTCCCTGAGCCATGGCTGTAGGCTTGGTCACATGATCCTTCACCACCTGGGAGATTCCTGTCACAAAGAAGAAGACGGGGACACAGGTGTGTATGTCTAATTATATGCTATGGTCTAATTGTGTTTGTGTACAACTGTTTACAACCATTTACCTGTGTGTTTTCAAGGCCAAGCAATTGTGTGCCCTTATCACTTGCAAGTCAAATTCAATAACAATTTCTAATGTACACTACTGTGCAAAAACATTAGGCAGGTGTGGAAAAAATGCTGTAAAGTAAGAACGCTTTCAAAAATTTAATTTTTTAATTTTGCATTTTGTAAATTTGATAAAAATATACAAAGTGAGTGAACAGAAGAAAAATCCTAAATCAAATCAGTATTTGGTGTGACTACCCTTTGGCAGTCATGGATTTTGTAGGATTATAGTCAGGTGTATGATTAAATAATTCTACCAAGCGGGTGCTAATGATCATCAATTTCATATGTAGAATAAAACAGTCATTAACTGAAACAGAAACAGCTGTGTAGGAGACTTAAAAAATGGGTGAGGAACAGACTATTCTGGCAAGACTGAGCACAGGAACGGGACACAAGGTAGTTATAGTGTATCAGCATGGTCTCTCCCAACACAGATTTCAAAGCACACTGGGGTTTCAAAATGTGCTGTTCAAGCTCTTTTGAAGAAGCAAAAATAAAATGGCAGCATTGAGGACCATAGATGCAGTGGTCAGCCAAGGAAATGTCATGCAGCAGATGAAGGACACATCATACTTTCTTTCCTTCAACATTGAAAAATGTCCAGCAGTACCATCAGCAAAGAACTGGCAGAAACCAGTGGGACCCAGATACACCCATCTACTGTCTGGAGAAGTCTGGCCAGAAGTGGTCTTCATGGAATGGAAAAATTGCAGCCAAAAAGCCATACCTCAGATGTGGAAACAAGGCTATGCAACTTAACTATACACAAAAACATAGGAACCGGGGTGCAGAAAATTGGCAGCAGGTGCTCTGGGCTGATGAGTCATAATTTTGAATACTAGGTGAACAAGCTGCCTCTTGCTACAGCCAAACGACTGGAGAGCAGTACAATAATGAGTGTCTGCAGGCAACAGTGAAGAATGGTGGAGGTTTCTTGCAAGTTTGGGGCAGCATTTCTGCAAATGGAGTTGGAGATTTGGTCAGGATCAATGGAGCCCTCAACACTAAGAAATTCAGACAGATACTTATCCATCATGCCATGGCATTAAGGAGGTGTGTGATTGGCCCCAAATGTATTCTGCAGCAGGACAACGACCCCAAACAAACAGCCAATATCATTAAAACAATCTTCAGCATAGAAAACATAGTCCTGGAAGTGATGGTTTGGCCCCCACAGAGCCCTGATTACATGAAGAGACAGAAGGATTTGAGGCATCCTACATCCATAGAAGATCTGTGGTTAGTTCTCCAAGATGTTTGAACCAACCTACTTGCCGAGCTCCTTTAAAAACTGTGTGCAAGTGTATCTAGAAGAACCGATGCTGATTTGAAGGCAAAAGGGTGGTCAAACCAAAAATATTGATTGATTTGGATTTCTCCTCTGTTTATTTTTATCAATTAATAAAAATAAATGAATGATTACCACTTCTATTTCTGAAAGCTTTCTTAGTTTACAGCATTTATTCACACCTGCCTAAAACTTTTGCACAGAGATAGATTAAATATGTTTTCATGCTAATCAGAAGTACACACTGCTTTGTTCTCCATGGTGCAACATTCAGATCTGCTTCCCTAAAATAACACTAAACACACATTTTTATAAAAATACATTTACAATCTCCCTTCTCTCTCTTTTCTCTGCTATTATCAGACTTTCTGTTCTAGGGTGGCTACATTCATTCTCTATGCTTCCTTTTGTAGTTGCAGTCATAGCCACCTTTTCCTGTTTGCACCCCCAGAATGGACCTCACATTACCAAAGCTGTGGTATGTTTGATATTTTAGAATGATTTATGTAAACAAATCAAGTTTAATGTCACTTTAAGCTCGCCATCAATGGTTTAAATATCGGATTAATCCTGGGTATGAACCAGGGATGGACTGACCATTTGAAAACTCAGGCACTGCCCGAGGGCCAGAGGTCAGTAGGGGGCCCCATGAGATGCCCCTGGTACCTTTTTCACAGGCTTTTTTGAGTTTGGGCAAGGGCACAGGGGCCCCATGATCCCCTATTGCCCGGGGGCTCCATGAGTTGTCAGTCCGCCCCTGATATGAACTTAAATTAAAGCCATGGGTGGCATTGCTGACACCACCCAGGTCAACAGAGTTCAATTGAGAAATCAAAATAACCAGGTGGAGCAAAGTTGGACAAACAGTGACTGCAGGCAAAGTCTGTTTCAGGTATTCTGATACCACCCCCAAGTGCTCAGGGTCAGAATACAATATCTAGCAGTGGGAGATTTGTCCATCTGCACTGTTTTAGCATGGATGAGAGAGTACTATGGGCATCTCTTGTTCAGTCCGCTGGGCTGAAGGAAAGAAATATTTCCATGTATGCATATTTAGTGTTTTTGTAGCTCGTTGTTTATTATGCTATTAACAGTTACAATCAGTCATAAAACTATGCTATCGTTAAGAGCATCCTTTTACTTTATTTAGCCTTCTTAACTGTTTGTATATGCTCCCAATAAGAGTACAAATTCAAGGGAATCTGACTGTTTCTCCTGGATAAGGGAAAGAGTTATGTTCAATGTGTATTAATAGCAACCCTTTACAGATCATCTTCTACCCATATAGCAAAGAATTAAAAGAAAATCAAATTCAATGCTATGGTTTACTGAACCTTGCACGATATGAGTGCTTTCTGTATCTGTTAGTGTGATACACAAAAGTGAATAAAATTGAAAGTAATACAATTTGTACATTTCATGAAGGAACATCCATTAAACTGACCACTCTCTACAGTTTACAAACACTAACAACCTTTGGAAGAGGTCCTAGATATGTGACATTTTTTCTTAAACTCACCATGTAGAGAGGAGCGAGCAAGGGCCGTAATTTCATGAATAGTGAGTGCACGTCGAGACTTGGGTAACATTTCACCAGTGTCTTCAACATGTAACTAATGTATAAGAAACAATACAGGTTAGACAGCAGAAATCACAAATACAATATAATATAATGCATGACAGAAGTGTGGTAGTAATCAATGTGATGTCTATGACACAAAATGGATGCAGGTAGCACAAAATAATAGGGATCTGGAGGATAAAACATTTAGGATTTTTTTCATGGTTACCAATCAAAACCTCTATTTTATCACGATATCCATTTAGTTTCATAGGACAATTTATATTACAATAATTATGAAACTGCACATTTTACTGATCTATATGACTTTACATAGATTAGAGATCAAGAAATCTAGGGTACCATGTCTTCTCAGCAATCTGGTTCCAAGGCTGTCATTCTTTCCTGCTTCAGTTAGGAATTGCACCAAAAAGAAGTGAAGTACCACATGGTTTGTCTCATCATATTTCTTTATTAGGGACCACAGAATGTAGAATAAGGCCTCCTTCACACGGCTAGGTAGGTGCGGCAATAAATTGGTGGATTCTTGCTACTGGAATGACTATATGTAATTTTGTGGTGCAACATACTGGCCTCAGACATGCTAACAACTGGTCTCCTCTGTTAATCTTTGAATATTTGTTATTGGAACATTTTAAAGCATGTCAGAATCATTCAAAAGTGAACCTAAATGACATAACAGAAAACTGCTTATGGAATGACATGATCATGTGATCAGAAGCAGCCAATCACCCCCATTTAAAACTAATGGCAGGCTGACAGCATCCACTACTGTTCGCATGCAGCCGCACACAGAGTGGCATGCTACAGATGGAGCAGTCAGCTGTTTTCAGGCTCAGACATTTGTCCCCAACTGCAACTATCCACACTGTGTGCTGCTACATTCCAGAACAAATTGATAAATGGTAATGGATATGGTTTGATTTTGTTTTACTATCAAAGGAAAACTGGCACAAACAGAAAAAAAAAACTCGAAACAATCTTTAATTTAGATATATTTCTTTCTATTACTTTGACCCACCACCAAACTCTTTGAGTGATTGTTAGAAACATGACATGCAATTGGGCCATGCCATGTACAATGTATGTATTACAGTACTCAGCTTGGTAATGGATGAGATGGCAGATCTGCGCTTATAGACCGGCGTGTATACCACCACGGCATTCCATGCGAATGCTGCTGTCAGTAGACCGTGGGCCTGTATCCACATATCAGCAGCATGGTACCACATGGGCTTCATAACGCAATGCGCAAGCGGTGTGAACTCCACGTGTAGGCTTATGCATATCTTACAACCCATTACTAATCTGAACTGTATCTCGGATGGATGTGTTTTAATAAAGATCGTATCGGGCCCATCCAGGTACAGACTGATATTTTTAGGGAGATGCTTGTGCAGAGAATTTTGCATACCAATAGAAGCTAGTAGGACAGGAAATATGACCTCAGATGGCTCATAGGGGGGAAGGGGAGGAAGTCTGCTGACCTCAGAAGACTCATGGGGGAGGACCAGTGATAGATAATAGCAAAGGCTATGCTCCAATTGGAATGTACATCCTCTGTATAGGCAATCCCCATTGCATTGTTCGGTGGGAGGGATTGACTTTATTCATGTGGGGGGCATGTGTGTATTTTTAATAAAAACAGAGAGCTGAGCCTAAAGCCGGCCCTTATGTGGATTGCAACCAGCCTTAGAGTGTCGTGTGATCATTCTAGGGTAACGGAGCTCCAATCACCCACAAATTCAACAGAACCAAAGTATTTGGATGGGCAGGAATCGTGTAGTTTGGCTGCAGTCGTGGTAAGCGACGAGATTCGCACAGCTTTATGGGGGATTTCTGCGCATCCAACTGCGAGTACTCACGGTAAGGAGAAATTCGTTAAAGCGAATTTCCAAGACAGTTTGGCGAGCCTGGTGGATACTAACGCGTATTCTTGCGTAGCTAACCTAGAACGAGGGGGGAATGGCCATCATGAACTAGCAAAAAGTATGCCGGCACATTTCAGGTCTCTCTGCCATTAAGAGGATCGCTTTTTGCGTGTTCGTGTGGCTGATTTCGCTCTCTGTTAGCTAACAAGAAATACCGCTTAACAAGGACCTCATTTTTTGTCCTAAACTCTTGATTTGTGGGTGAAAAGACGAGGGTTTGTCTCTGCTGAGAGCAGCAGGGGGGGTGGGTTTGGTTGGCTGGATTTGGTCAAGTTTAAAAATCTTCCAACCAAAAATTAAACGGGTATATGTTTTAGTGGGTAAAAGTTGTTGCATAGTGTTAGGTAAGTATTTGTGGGCTGTAGGTACTGTGGTGATTGCTCTTACCCCCCTCCACGTGAGGTAATTATTACAGTGCTGAAAGGCTTAGGTTAATTGTTAACTGTTGTAAGATCTGTGTGTATGTAGTCTGTACAATGTTTTGTGGTACTACTGCTCCCAGCAAGCATGCAGCAGGGGGTCCTTTCTGTTACATGTGCATGTTAGTGTGATATGTTGGTGTTTTATGTCCGTTC